TTGCTATATCCTCTTCTATTAAGCATTTTAACATTAACATTGTTAAGAAATGTTGACAAAACAGAAAACATTGGGGTGCATCTACTATGCTATAATTTGTATTCAATAGGTTGACACATGAGAATCAAGAGATCAAGTGTGTCCTTGACTAATGACTGACATCCCAGTCATCCTACATAACAAATCACAACATCTGAAGGGAATATGTAGAACTTGTGTTGACATATCTCATGTGATCTCATACCCCAGTAAAGCCATACGCCAAATTGAATTCTATTATAAGTTGCTTTATACACAAAGTTTTAGCACAGCAACAGAAAGCACATTAATACAGAGCCAGAAAGTGTGACACTTGGTTGAGAAATTTCATGCAATTGAAAAGAAAGAAAATTATAATTTCAAACAAAATATTGACGAACATAACATCATACAGCTTGAATAGACTGTTGACACACTTTGTATTTCCTGAAAAATAATCCTATGTGTTGGCTATAGATCTTACCAAAGCCTTTATAGTTATAGATACCCTCCAATGTGGTGCCTTACTTCCTCAAAGACTACTGTGATGTGGAAAGAATTTAAGATTGATTATACACTGAACATATTACTCTTGTATAAAGGAAACCAGCTGAGGATGGGAATGCACATCATCACAAATGCATGGTTCTTGGGCAATTTGTGAACTGATTTAAAACAAGTAGCATTAGAACCAATTCAAAATATTTCACCAGCTTCTTCAAGCATCAGGAGGCAGGTAGCTGGAACAACAGGTCATCTTAGCATCTCCACCAATAAATCTTGTCAAAGGGGCACATTCTGCAGTATATGATCTTACAACAAGGATTTCAGTACTATTAAGATATTCTTATGGACTGTGCAGGTTACACCATTCAGTTAAGGATGAGTTTTTGCTTCTGGTTTGAGTAGGTGCCAGAAAACTATTCTTTTAAGTTAATTTTATCAATAAGCAATTGTAATAAATCTTCATTCATGCTATAGGAATGACATGTTGAATCTTAAGTGTTCCATAAACAATAATATGAATTGTCTACGTTTATCTGAAGTTTTGGCTAAAGACCTTTAATATCTAGGGTAGTTATACGGCTGTTCCCATGTCGAGGCATCAGCAAATCATGTTTCCTGCTTGGTTGATTTTCTGAAACTCTTTTTTCCTTTAGTCAACATTTTCAGGGGGACTTCCCTGTCATACATGATCCATATCACTCTAGAAGGGGTCCAAAGCCTTTTCTTCTTTCCTACTACCACAAATATAGAGCCTCTCTCCCATAATAGTATGTCCTTGTTCCAGTAACACAAAATCATCAATGATATAGATCGATTCAATTAGCAGTCTCCTTACTCTTAAATTTGCTCTATGCCCCAGGGGGTGGGAATTTTGAGGGTGGGGAGGTGGGAGTGGGGGGGGTAGATAGAGGTTACATCCACAGAGAAGAAGGAGGAGGGGCGAGGGGATTGGGGGTCCCGAGGGGGTGGTGGGGGATGGGGTAAGGGGACAACATAGGAAATGTAAATAAATCATCCAATAAAAAAAAAATTTGCTCTATTTTAACCTCTATCCTAGAGGATTTTAATATCATAACCACCAAACTTATTTATCGATGCAAATATAAAATCTCCTTCTATGGAGATTAATACTCTATGGATATATATCTTTTCCCTTTATATTATTTGAACAAACATCTTTTCCTACGTATTTAACTTCAATTAAATTCCCTTCTACTTACTGCATATAAGCCTATTTCCAGGCTCTTATTTTGCCATATCTGGCCAAGGAATACCAGTATTGCTGTGTTGCCCTCCGTCAAAGAACCCAAATGCCTGCTCTGGCATTGACTTTTCAATTGTTCTTTAAACATTTTTTTCCATTCATTCTCCATTGTGTAGAAATTAATGCCTCTTATTATTATTCACTGAAATAGGGTATCTCTCTATCTTCATGCATTTGTTCCCTATATTCGAGAGTAAAATCCTACTTTATTCCATATATACTCACAAACACTTAAATAATTACCACTGTAACTCTTTTATCCTGAAAAACAATTAAACAATTCTCGTCTATCTCTCCCCTTTCTTGATCTGATTATAGCTGCCAGGCAGTCTCTACCATCTACCTTTGTGTCTGCTTTCTGAGATGCCTGTTTCTTTGGACAGCACCTCAGAGCTCAATCTCCTTGAGAGAGCCATAATAAATGCTTACTGCTCAGCTTATCTGGGTCAGCTTTAAGGATTTTTGCAGTGTCCCAGCACAGGCCATGAACTTCAGAATCATGCATGCCAGTTCTACTCACCTTTTGTTCTAGCTGGGAACCTGCATAGCTTGGTGAGGAACCACATGGCTTCAGCATAACCAGCAACTCTGCTAAGAATAAAGTTTTCACCAACTCCTAATCTCACATCACGGCATGTGTTTTCCATCTGAGAATCTCCAAATAATTTTTAGTACTGAGTTCAATCCTAAAGATGAGAAACATTCTGTTCAGTCTTCTTTACTTAATATGCCTAGATCAGCTCATTAGTTGGGCCACTCCCCAACTTGCACATTGGTAATGCCTCCCCTGTGATACTCCTGAACTATTACTTACTAAAATCTATATCCAACCTTTGTTATCCCAAATTTAATCAGAGGAGGGAACATGGGGGACACTATTTCCTGCCTCTTTCAAGGCTGGCACTCTGTCTTTTGCAGCTCTCAAGCCTGCATCCAATTCCTTTACTGGCATGGCAATCCTCTTTGGTCTCCTTGCCCATGAATCCAAAAGTCCTGCTTGTGTCTTCCTGCCTAGTCATTGGCTGCTGGCAACTTTATTTACCAATTAGAACCAGTTTGGGACAGGGAATATCAGAGTCTAAAATACAGGACTCTGATGAGATCTGGGAAGCAATTTAACACAAGTAGCATTAGAACCAATACACAACAATTAGGAATAAGCAGAAAACAAACCACCACTCCTTAAGTCCTGCCCTTTTGTTATCATCCTCCATTTAATGACCTGGTGAAACTTATGTTCATGCTTCCAGGCATGGGGGAGTTACAGACTTCCCACTCTGTACCACCATCTTTAGTCATCTTTCATTCTTGAAAACACAAAGACTATAAAAAAAAACCCACAAAGACTGTCTCTAACAATGCCTTCTGCCATTCATCTTGTGCTCCTCAAAAGATAACACCTGTTCTTTACCACCAAAGAACAAATCAATATGATTGTTTAAACTGTAAAACACACATTCTATAACAGTTGACACTATCAGCTACATAAGCCCCTATTCCAAAATCCTGATTATTGGGAAAATGTAGTTGTAACTTGGCACAGAATTTTCTGGTGTTCTCTCCTTACTTTTATAAGTTTCTTTTTTCTTATTCATTATTGTTGAATCTTTTTTTACAATTCAGATTTTATACCCTTCCTTGTCCACCCTCCAACTCTTCCTCATCCTATTCCTCCTTCCCCAGTCTCCAAGATGTCTCTACGCACAACCCCCACCCCACCAGTACTTCCCACAACCTGGGCCCCCAAGTTTCTGGAGGGTCACTTGTATCTTCTCTGATTGAGTCCAGACCCGGTAGTCCTCTGCTGTATATCAGGTGGTTTATGCTACCTGGTTGGTGGCTCAATGTCTGAGAGATCCCAGGGGTACAGGCTAGTTCAGACCGCTTGACTTCCTATATAGTCGCCCTCCTCCTAAAATTCTTCCAGCTTTTCCCTAATTCAACCTCATGGGTCACCAGTTTCTGTCCATTGATTGGATGTAAGTATCTGTATCGGCCTCTTTCAACTGTTTAATGGGCCTATTGGATGTCAGTCATGACAGTTCTATGTTTGTAAACACCAGTAATAGTGTCAGATATTGGAGCCACCTATTGAGATGGATCTCAATCTGGGCATGTCACTGGACCTCCTTTTTCTCAGGGCCTTCTCTGCTTTTGTTCCTTCAGTTCTGTCAGACATTAATAATTGTGGGTTAACATTTTGGACTGCAGGATGGTAGCTCTATATCATTCTGGCTCACTTGGGGAAATGTGTGTTACAAGTCACACATTATGTTCAGATTATGTCATGATCTAGCAGCAGCTTTATTATCATAAAATCCTGTCACTTGCATTACCTGAGACTGAGTGGTGTTGGATCTGAGAGGACCCAATACCAGAAAGCCTCTACCATATTGTTTACACTCATAGATTTTCTCTCCATTATGATTACTTTCATGATGATGAAGTCTGTAATAATTTATAAAGGCTTCCCCATATTGAATGAGTTCAAAGGGTTTCTCTTTTATGCTGATGAAAACGTGGAAATTTGAAAAGGCTTCACGATATTAAATGTATTCATAAATTTCTAAGCAGTATGGATTGTTTCATGGTGATGTAGTCTATAGAAGTGTGCATATGCTTTATCATATTAAATATATTTACAGGATTTCTCTACATTATGGTTTCTTTTGTGCCTTTGAATATGACCGACATATGAAGGCTTTACCACATTGCTTACATTCTTACCTGTATGTCTTCTTTTATTCACTTGAAGATCGCAAAGTACAAAGGCTTTATCCTGTAGATGACATTCATAGAGATTCTCTTGAATGTGTCTTTGCTTATTTACATGGAGAGTACTGTGACTTGCAAAAAGTCTACCACAGTGCTTATATTCATAGTGTTCTCTTCAGTATGTATCCTTTGATGTACTAGGAGATGACTCTTTGGTGCAAAGGCTTCACCACATTAGTTACATTCAGAGGATTTCTCTCCAGTACAAGTTCTTTTATGTATCTGAAGATGATTTGAGTGCTTCAAAACATTCATGGTATTCACAGGGTTTCTCTCTAGTATATGGTCCTTTATATATTTGGGGACACTGCATTGTGAAAAAGGTTTAAAACCACATTGCTCACATTCAAAAATTGCTTTTCTGTATGCATCTTTTTATGATTGTCATGATGACTGCTTTGTGAAAAAGCCTTACCACATTAGATACACTCAGGGATTTGCTCAAATACATGTTCTTTAATATGTATTAAGACTCTGGTTTTGTGAAAAATTTTTATCAGATTGGTTACATCAATATGGTTTCTCCCCTGTATGTATTCTTTTATGACGTTGGAGAACAGTGCTATGTGCAAAAGCTTTACCACATTGGTTACATACATAGGGTTTCTCTCCTGTATGTGTTCTTTTATGATATTTGAGACCACTGCTGCACGCAAAGGCTTTACGACATTGCTTACATTCATAGGGTTTCTCCCCTGTATGTGTTCTTTTATGATAATCGAGACCACTGCTTCCAGCAAAGGCTTTACCACATTGGTTACATTCATAGAGCTTTTGCCCTGTATGTGTTCGCTTATGTATTTGGAGTTTACTCTTTCCTGCTATGGCTTTACCACAATAGTTACATTCATAGCGGTTCTCCCCTGTATGTGTTCTTTTATGATAACTGAGACCACTGCTTCGTGCAAAGGCTTTACCGCATTGGGTACATTCATAGGGTTTCTCCCCTGTATGTGTTCTTTTATGATATTTCAGACCACTGCTGTGTGCAAAGGCTTTACCACATTGGTTACATTCATAGAGTTTCTCCCCTGTATGTGTTCTTTTATGACATCGGAGAGCACTGCTATGTGCTAAGGCTTTACCACATTGGTTACATTCATAGGGTTTTTCCCCTGTATGCGTTCTTTTATGACATTGGAGAGCACTGCTACGTGCAAAGGCTTTATCACATTGGTTACATTCATAGGTTTTCTCTCCCGTATGTGTTCTTTTATGATATTTCAGACCACTGCTGTGTGCAAAGGCTTTACCACATTGGGTACATTCATAGGGTTTCTCCCCTGTATGTGTTCTTTTATGACATTGGAGAGCACTGTTATGTGCTAAGGCTTTACCACATTGGTTACATTCATATGGTTTCTCCCCTGTATGTGTTCTTTTATGACATCGGAGAACACTGCTACGTGCAAACGCTTTACCACACTGGTTACATTCATAGGTTTTCTCTCCCGTATGTGTTCTTTTATGATATTTCAGACCACTGCTGTGTGCAAAGGCTTTACCACATTGGTTACATTCATAGGGTTTCTCCCCTGTATGTATTCTTTTATGACATCGGAGAGCACTGCTATGTGCAAAGGCTTTACCACATTGGTTACATTCATAGGGTTTCTCTCCTGTATGTGTTCTTTGATGACATTTGAGAACACTGCTATCTGCAAAGATTTTACCACATTGGTTACATTCATAGGGTTTCTGTCCATTATGAGTTCTTTCATGCCTTTGAATATGACTCTGGCATGCAAAAGCTTTAGCACATTGAACAATCTCAGCAGGTTGCTCTCCAAAACAACTTCTTTCATGCCTGCAAAGAAATTGGCACATGTGAAAGCTTTCTCACATTGATTATACTGATGAGTCTTTTTATCTGTATAAATTCATTTACAATTTGGTTAAATTGTAATGGTAGTATGATCTTACCATAATGTCACTTTGTTAACATTCAAAGGTGTTGTCGTTCATTATTGGTTGTTGTACATCTTTAAAGATGCATGGAATGGGAGGAGTATTGATTACATGGCTCACATTTATAGCATAATTTTTTTATAAGAGGTTATTCTCATATTTGAAGAGAATAGGAAGAATTCAGAGCTTCTACATACTGACTGCATTCATAAATTTTGCTATTATGTGAATAATACAACATTTGGAATATAGACCAATGCTAACAGAAAACATTTCTACTTTCCTAATTCTCATAAAGATTTTCAGCAGTAAATATCCGCAATAATATTAGGAAACTAATTATATGTAAACTTTTAGCACATTTAGAAATGTCTATTCAAAGTAGGCAGTACTATATATCTTGTAATTGTTCTGGAAAAGAGAAAGGTATGTTGTTTCTTCAATATCTCTATGCTCAAATGGCTTGTATCCATCATGATCTATGTCATCCATATTAAAAAAAAAAAAAAAAAGAATAACAAGTGAAAGGGTTCCGCATTTCATTCACAGAGTTTGACTTTTTCTCTCATATTGATGTGGTACAGAGATTAAAGTTACTCAACAAAGCCATCCTTAAATCTCATAAACTGTCCATCTCAATAAATTTAGCAATGCTACTACAAGTATATGGCTAACAACAGATTTACTATGCATATTTGCTTATTACAAGGTTTTAGACATATGCTTACCACCTAATAAATCTGTTTCCCTTTTACAATAGCTAAATGGCATGAGACTGAACAGATTGGCACTTCTAGAACATGGCTCTACTGAGCTTGATTCCAATAGTGACATACCTGTTGTTTCATGTTTTTTGAAATTAGGGAACACTTTGCAAACACAAACTGGATGTCTGCCATTGACATACTGATTTTGTGAGATTTAATAATCATCTATAACTTAATCCAGTGCATATTTTATCCTACTGCTTTTCTTTACAACTTGTAGCACATATTAAACTTTATTCATAGGCATTTTCTTATGAGCTTGCACATGAAAATTACCTTCCATGTCTTCTAGAACCTGGAAAATGTTCACCAATAGTACGATCTTCCAAAACGTGGCCTAAAATGTGGTGCCAGAGAAAGTATGTTACATTACTGGAAATTAGACATTTAAGTTATCTACTTGAGTGAACTTTAGAAACACCTCTGTTTATTCACCTTATTCTTCCTCATTCTCAACTGAAATTACAAACACAAATACCAATAACAAAGAAACAGATGTGCCTACATTTCAAAACCAAAAATAAATAAATAAATAAATAAATAAATAAGTAAATAAAAAAAATCACTGTATTACCTATAGCTGTGAGATTCCTATAGGTCTCCAGCATCACATCTTTGTAGAGACTCTTCTGAGAAGGATCCAGCAAAGCCCACTCTTCCATAGTGAATTTCACATGCACGTCATCATAGGTCACTACTTCCTAAAAGATCAAATATATGTGTGCATAAGAAAGCATGATTCCAACAAGAGTGTACATGTGTACTTCAAAAAGAATACTTACTGATTTCCCTGCACAGTCACATAGAACTTTTTATTCAATAAGTAAACAGTCATTCATAGTTGGAAAAAAAGGAAAACCTGAAGTAAATGTTGAAGCAAATGAATGTTCTCTGGGATCCTGATGCCTCTGTATTAAGATGTTGGGTATGGGATCATGTAGCATCCTGCCAGACCTTCCTCACTTTCTGTTCCCTGAGACCCAATACCCAAGGGTGCCCTTAGGACTGCAGTTTCTTCTCACCTGTCCAGGCCTCCTGTAGATACAAAAGACCATTTCCGTCTTCCCTTCCCTTCTTACCCCATTTCTGTGTCTGAGCTATGAACTATGGACAGAAACCCCCTACTTAACCACAGGCCAGTCCTCCAGAAGACTAAGTAGGCTGTCAAAGACTCATCCCACAATTTGTTACCCAAGACCAAATTCTCACTGCTGCCCAATGCTCTGAAACACAATATCAGAAAAACCTTCCTTTGCCCATATCCATGCAACCTGTTTTCAAGTTCTCTTCCAAACAACTGAGGGAACTACACCAGGAAAAATGTGAACTTGACCAATGTTACCTATACTTGTATACAAATAAAATAAGAATAGATTTCCTGACTCCTACAAAAATAACTGAAGTGACCACAAAAATGTTATATTTCTGTCCTTTCAGTTACTACCTGTCTGTCTTCCAAACAGAGAGGCCTGATGGTATAGAGTCTGTCAATAAAGGTAGGTGATCAGAAAGGTGGTCTATGGCGCTGCAGGTCTTCATGACCCCTAATGATTTCAGGTAAAACTAGCTCCACTCAAGTCTTACAAAACACAATATTGAATAATGATTTAATATCTGCTTCCTGCCACATGGATTCTTATAAGATGTGAAATCTGTCCTATGTAGCTATCAGGCACCATACACACCTGAGGAACTTCTTCATCTCAGAATCTCCTTTTGAATCAAAGAATTGAATTTCTGTGTATCGTGCCATTACTACTGGAGGTAACAGAATGGCTAAAGAATTCTAGTTAATGTTTCTGAAGTATGATCCTATCACCTCTTTTTACTAATTTCTAAATTATGTATAAGATTACTCACACAAAACTGAGTATAGAAGGTTCACAAATTCTAGAAATCAAACCTCCACTTTTGCAATGTCATCCTACTGCACACCAAAAGCAATGCCTCTGTGTACACACTGTAATGACATTTATGTTTCACACCTTGCCACTCAAATGGCTACAAACCTTCCCTGGGAATCTACTCTCAGGGTCAAAAGACAAGGGCCTCTGCTATTATCACTACATGGAGCAACAGAACCACACTCTGAACCAAGGTCCCTCTTAGTACCAGTAGATCTGACTCTGATAGCTCAGCAGATTTGTTCTTCCCATCCTAGTGATAGAGATGGCCACAGTCACCAGGGCATGGCTTGTGATCTTCTGCAAAGCTTGTAACACATGCCTCTGAGGAAAATCCTGTAAAGCCCCTGCAAGCTACCTTCCACTAGTGCTTCTGATTGACAGGCCTGCCCGAGTCCCTCCTTAGCTAGGAAAACTCAGCTGGGCATCAGGACAGTAAGTAGCAACTCCTCAACTTGGGGACCACAGAGCAAATTATTCAGATAGCTGAAACCATCCAAGCTCTGCTGTTCCACCCTAAATGCAGACATAACCCTAGTCTGGGAAATTTGCATTTAATAGAATATTCTACCCTCCCAGGGCACTTATTTTCCTTGTTAAAGGCACAGGGTCCTTTCTTTACATAATCAATTATACATGCAATGTCCTGTGCAGACATCTCTGCTTCATAGTGGGGATGAACTGAAATCAAACTGCAATCAAATTCATAGAGTACAAAAATTAAAAAGAAAAATTGGCTATAAATTTTAAAGCTAGGAGCGGTTACTGGAGAGAAATGAAACAAACAAACAAACAAACAAAAACGAAAGAAATAAAAATTATAGGAAATCAGTGCTCCTAGGTATGGTGGAGTAGAAAATTTATTATACACAAAAGAGAGAACATAGCGAGACCCAATTATATCTCGGAGAGTTTAGAGAAGACATGTCATTTTGGCGAGGTAGAATGGGAGAAGGAAGAACCAGACCAAGAGATCAGAATGATTAACAATAGATGAAAAAGAGCAGTCCCCAAATAGTTGGATTGCATAAGGAATGGCAGCTTAGATATTGGCAGCCCAATCTATATTCTATAACAGGTAGGAACTGCAGTCTGATGAGAGAAACAGACAGCCAGGTTTGCTTTGATTTGTTAAATAGGCCTCTCAGCTCCCTGCCCCAGAGTTTCAGACTTAACACTAGGGACAAAGGAGAAGGAGGAAATGACTATTATACTGTCAAAGATTATTTTTAAGAGTTAAAACATACTTTATGGTCCGGTATTCTTGAGAAACTAAACGTATGTACCAAGTAGCTCTCATATCTTTTCTCTTACACTGTGTATTTTCAAACAGGAATAACTATATTCCTGTTAGGCACCAGTTTGTCTAGATCTTCTTTTGTTTGAACTAGTGAAAATACAGAAAATTGATTTCTAGATATAAGTACATGTCTTCATTTAAATTCATCATTTCCCTAATCTGGGAAATACCCCAAGATTGCCAGTAAGGAATTTTACTGATTATTTTCTAAAATTGCTTACTTGACTAGTCATGGTGAATGCCAACTTCTGCCAAAGGAGAAAGGACTCACCTTCCTTCTTTCTCCTCCTTTTCTGTGCTGCAATTATACCAGCTCCACAGTTGGTCAGTGAACTCAATTCTTATACAGGTCCCTCTTTTATTAGTAATCCCCTCATCCCTAATCCAGGGATGTTAGACAACACTCGTTCCCTGATGTTTTGTCTCACTGATCAATCAGAAACCAGATTGAAAGGAGTTGCAGGACTGTTTTCCAAGCACTGAGCAGCAGAGGCAGGTTCAGGTGTTCAAAGTAACTCTTAAGTACATGGCATAAGGAAAGCCTGAGCTACAGGAGATGTTGCTCTAAACAGACAGATAGAAAATCTCTTTAGAAAAGGGATTGAAACTCTTAATTTGTGGGAAACATTGGAGAATGGAAACAAGTAAGAGATCAGAGCACCTATGCATAAAGAAAATGAAATTTAAAAACTAATAACAAAAATTGATTTTTAAAAAGATAAATATAAATGAAAAAACATATTGGTATAATGACTTTAAAAAAGAGCACACCCGCCAGGCTGTGGTGGCGCATGCCTTTAATCCCAGCACTTGGGAGGCAGAGGCAGGCGGATTTCTGAGTTCGAGACCAGCCTGGTCTACATAGTGAGTTTCAGGACAACCAGGGCTACACAGAGAAACCCTGTCTCAAAAAACCAGAAAAAACAAAAACAAAAAAGAGCAGACCCTTCCTGGTAGAGATGATGGCATTAATAAGATGGTGTTTGTCCTTGCCCCTATGTGCAGTGTTAACTGCTGAGATCTATAAGGTGACACACAGCTACATCTAATGGCCTGTGTTTTACATTTCTGAGCCAACATAAATATGTCAGCTAGGATTGCTCATATCTATATAATACCTGTCCTACTAACACAATTCATTATCCACTGGCTCAAGCTAAGCTGCCCAAATTAAACACCCACCAATCTAGTTTAATTTAACCATATGTGTTAGTATTCTGTCTAAACTCCACCTCCACAGTTATCTGGCAACACCCAGGTATGCTCCTCCACTCAGTTACCTAGCAATAGCTAGCTAGGTGTGCCCACTATAAAAGGGGCTGCCTGCCTCCTCCTTGCTTTCTTGCTCTCTTGCATCTAGCTTCTCTCTGTTCCCTCGCCTCTCCCCCCTTCCATTCCCCCTCTGTCAACGTGGTCATTGCCAGCCTCCATTTCTCTCCTCTCTCTCTCCTCTTTCTCCACCATCTTTTCCCATTTCTCTCCCCACACCTTTTCCCTATCTCCTAAATAACACCCCCCTTGGAACCCTTTGGTCTGTTGTTGTCTGTTCTAAGCTGTGCAACAAAATCTAACAATATGTAATATTAAATATACACTGTGAAATTATAAAATTATCCACCCTACCTGAATCAGCTCCTACTCCAGAATACTGACACCTGCAGCTGACTCTCATAAACTTTGCTCTGTGATCTAGCTATTTCCTGCTCTGATTCACCTGACAGTAAATAAAGTAAACCATTCCTCCTGTTCTCATCTGAAAATAGAAGAAATGGACAGTTCATTATATGATTCAAAGGAGCAAATTTAAAATGGTGTTGTGCTGCATTCTTTTAATTCAAGAATTTGTGAATATTCATCAAGCAAAAAGCAAGGTCAGTGCCCTGAGGAGCAATACACAGGGATCAAGGCTATAGTGTTTAATCAAGAGATAGTGTGTGACATTTCCCCATGTGCTATGTTACCTACTGAGATCTATAATGTGACACACCCAGCTACAACTAAAGGCATGTGTTTTACATTTCTAAGCTCATGTAAATATATCAACAAGGATAGCACATAACTAAATAATACATGTCCTAAAATGGGAATTCATTATCCACTTCCTCAAGCCAGCTTTCTCAAATTAAAAATCCACCAATGTAGTTTTATTTAAACACATGCATTATTTAATACATGCTATGAAATTACAAAATTGTTCACCCTGCCTGAATCAGGTCCTTTTCCAGAATGGTGACACCTGCAGTGGACTCCCTTATACTTTGGTCTGTGATCTAGCTGTTTCCTGCCCTCTTTCACCTGACAGTGAACAGAGTAAACCATTCCTTCTGTTCTCATCTGAAGGTAGAAGAAATATGCACTTCATTATATGACTCAACTGAGCAATTATAAAACTCACCTTTGCTTCATTACTTTAACTCAAGAACTTAGGAATTTTTATAAAGAGGAAACCAAGGTCATTGATCTGGGGAGCAACAGACCAGGATCAAGGCTACCTGAGTCAACAGAGCTTGACTTAGAAACATCTCTATAAAAGGAAGAAGATGCAGCTCTCACAGAATTACTATATCATCCCAGAAAGAAATCACTCCAAAGACAACATTAAAACATTAACTAGGAAAAAAAATCTCCTAAATGACAGCATGGATTCAGCTCTGACTAATGCTCAAAGAGGAGCCAACCAAAAACAGGTTTTGGATATTGACATCAATAAGTTTGTTTCTGGTTCAGGCCCCAGGTTATTTTGAACAATTTAAATATGGACTAGAGATTGTAAGTCCTACTTAAGACAGCTATGAGATTTACATAGGAAAGATCCCCAGAATCATTGATTAAGTGCATCAGATCCCTGAAACAGCAGGTCAGTTTTCAGTGATGGGTTCCTGAGTTGGAAGTGAAGATGAGAAAGACAGGAAACTTAGAAGGTAGAATGTACAACAGCTGTGGTGGGGAGAACTTGCATAAGCTATGTCTATGTCAAGTAAGCTTTGTAAAACTAACATCTTGTATACTACGTACAGGGGATAAAGTGAATGAAATGGAGACTTCTATGAAGGCAGCAGTAACTATCATACACTGTGACAAATTTAGGAGAAGTGTAAAAAAACAATGCTGCACAAGGGAATCCATGACTGACCAAGCCCATAGTTGACTTGGGACTGATAATCGTATCACCCTATGCTGGAAATAGTTGGAATCTCAGGGTCTGAAGCTTGTCTTCCCCAAACACCCTGGCCTCGAAGCTTTACAGCTGCTGCCACCCCTAACTCTGGCTTAGGAGAAAGAGCACTGGTTTCTATTCAATACACCAGGGCCTCAGGTAAAGCTCCTAAAGCTTAAGGCTCCAGGCTGTTAAGGGGCTAGAATTTAGAAAGGAGATATGCAATTCTCCATACATTAGGATCAAGCCTTATTAGATTGGACCAGCCCAGATCATACAGTGTTGTCCTCTTCAAAGAGATGTCACCAGGTATAGTCCTGCCCTTATGGCAAAACTATGCTTTTCCCAAGAAAACTGGATCTTTATGGCATACCAGGCCTTAATGTTGGCTGTGAGCCTGTAATGCTGCATTAAGCAGCTTGTTAGGGGCCTGTTCTTTGATATCAGCATGAGCCTAATGGATGACTGTAAATCAGATTTGTCCCCTTTGTTAAGGATTGGAGACAAATGTCTGGACAATCCTGGTAAACAAACATGTATTGTATAATACTGATTTTTAACAGGACTCCATTTTTACCATGCTACTTTCTTGTCAGGTGTTTTACAGGCGGTCCTACCTCAGATAAATTCTACTGAGTCGGACAGTGGTGGTGTACGCCTTTAATCCCAGCACCTTGTCAGGCAGAGGCAGGCAGATTTCTGAGTTCTACACCAGTGTGGTCTACAGAGTGAGTTCCAGGACAGCCAGGGCTACACAGAGAAACCCTGTTTCAAAAACAAAACAAAACAACAACAACAAAATTCTACTTATTGTCACTTAATATTTCCTAAATGTTGGTAATTTTTTATATCATCAATTCTACACTTGTACATCACAGCTCAATACTGGAGTGATACCCCACACACGAGATTTATTTTTACAGCCTTCACAACACCAAGTGGAACTTACACCTACAAAGTTAACCGCTAAGAGCAGAACTTAGAGAAGAGAATAGAGAAACAGTGCTCTAACGTTTGGCATCATGCCAAATATATTTCTACACACAAGCCACTGCTGCAATGGTTTTGTGCAGATGCTCCCATAATAAAGTTATTCCGAGGTCACAGCCAGGTACAAAGCCGGGTACAAAAGGCTGCATGTGTCCGGCTGCTGTTTACCATCCAGACACTGGGAAGACCCACTACGCATTTGTACTTTGCTAAGCAGCTTCCGCCTCCCGTTCGTGCGAGGTGGCCTTGCACTTACCATGTCTGGAGTTCTGAGCTTGCCGAGCTCCCCTCACAGCACCCAGCAGACACACTCAGAATGTTTCACCCAGAAACACTCATTCTGGCCGAGTTACAGGAAGAAACCTGCAAGCTTGGTACCCGGAAGTGCCGCCTCCTCTGACTGGCAGGGCCATGTAGAGGTTCTGATTGGCTAGCGAGACTTGAGGGACATAATCACCACTCTTAGGGTTAGAATGTCTTAAAGAGACACAAGCATAGTAGTTCCAGCTTTGGCCAATCTTTTTCTAGATCTGCAGGGCTGAAGTTCAGTAGCACAAGTACCTCTCCTCCAATAATTTACCTGTCTGTCCTTTCATCCAGCTCCTGGGAAAAAGTAAGATTTCACACCCCTGTTTCTCAACTGCCTGCTTCTACTCATGTGGGCAGTGACACTGTATTCATTGCTTTGCAAATGTGGAGCTTTCCTGAACTCCCATCACAGCACTCAGGAGATCCTTCCGCTCCTCATCCTGCTGGATTCACAATGGATGGCTCTCACAGTCAGTAAGTCAGATTACAGTGGAGTTACTAATCTGTCCCACAAATGGACAGGTGCCAAGAATATTAAAAATTAAGAACGATTTTAGAAAACTTTTTTGTTTGTTTGGTTTGTTTTTTTTTTTTGCCTTTAGACTGGGTTCAGGTAAACTGCAAGTACTTTTCACCTAATCTTTATGAGACAAACCTCAGAGCAAAGTGGGAAATAAGTGACAGACACCTTGGAACACTCTTCTTAATCAGCTGAAAGTCCTCAGTGAGTCTATAAAATGAAAATAGCAACAACAACAACAAATCCGCAGCTATATTATATATAGTAAAGTTTCTCCCCATGAACAGAGCTGATAGAATGAGTCTCTGTTATGTAGAAAATGCATTTATTAGATGGCTCACAGGCTGCGGTTCAACTAATCTAATAATGGCTGTCTACAAATTTAAAGATTAAGAATTTAATAGCGGTTCAGTCCATGTGGCTGGATGTCTGAGCTGGTCTTCAGTATTCCGCAGAGGGGAGACCCTCACTCAAGTCTCAGAAAGTCACGGCCACCCAGTAATCTGCTCGAGACACCATGTACCAGAGCAATTTCGAGGTTTATTAGGGCGTGACAACTAGTTGCCGGTCAATTCGTATGCCCACGCAGGAGCGGAATTGACCCCGACAGCCAGTTTGAGAGGGATTTTTAAGGGGAAAAAACCACAAACCAAGGAATGGGGAGGGGAATGAGGGGTTGTTGAGGTGGCACAACATAAAAATAGTGGAACATTCCAAAGGAACCCAACCTACGTGAGTCAGGATCAGGTGAAAAGTCTCTGTACGCTTATCTTTCTCAAGAATGTGGTCCTGCCCTCTTACTTCGGCCTTGCCCTGTCACTATGGTTCTCAGCTTGGTTCCACCTGGCTAAATTGCATTCTAGCCAGTTCCCGTAGCTAGTCTGTCCACATTCTTAACTTGCTTCATGGCTCGGTTTCTCCATGTCTTTATAAAGAAAGCCTAAAGAATATTTTGTATGTCTAAAAAGGATTCTATATACCCAGTATCTATAATTTTTCACTCTACAATACCTTAATTTTGTAAGATAAGCGCTATTGGCAGAAAATTAAACAAATAATAACAACAACAATAATAACGAAAATTTGCTCCCCAGAGGTAGGGAATAAGAGAAAGAGCTACTATCTTCAATGTCCTTTATATATGTAGGCAGTCACCACGAAGAGTGGTCTAGGTGAAAGGTGGATCTTATCACCCCGAATGACCAAATTAAATATTCTTTCCCCAGTTGGAAAACTTTAATTAGGAAAAATCCTGCACAGTACCCAACTCTTTGAGTTTTATTTAATTCCTGATGTGTTCCATTTGAGTACCCAGAGTAGCTAGCACAACAGACAACACACAACAGCTGGGAAAGATTTTTTTCCTGTATCAGGTAAGGAGAACATAGGAGCCATTTCCAAAGCAATGCCTTTCTTCAAGAAAGAGAGCTTTGAGATTTTACTTAGGTATTCTAGATACGTTTACACATAGGTTTGCCTACTCCTATCAGCGTCAAGGTAAATCCTTTTCTGAACATGATCAAATGTAAAAGCTGAGATATTTAAGGACAATTTACCTCAAAGTCATCCAGAAATATATGTAAATAGTAAAAATGGTGGACAGAAATGCATATGGAAAGTTCATCTTGTATTATAAGATCTTAGCTGAAAATCAACGGGCAGCTGAGAGCTCATAGTTTGAACTCCAGACAAGAGGGAGCTAGCAATATGGGCATGGTCAGAAGATATTAAAGCCTGAAAATGCACCCATGTGTCACAGCTCTTCCAAAAAGGCCACACCGATGCTGCTTCTTAAATAATTCCACAAACTAGGAAATAAGTATTTGAACATATGAGTCAATGGGTGCCATATTCATTTAACTACTTCATGTTTCCTCACAAGTGAAAACAACTTCTTATCTGATTTCACTGTAGCATATCCTTAAGAGAGAGACTCTTATGTTTTTAACCTACATTTTCCAAAAAGTAACAAGCCTTACCAGAAAGAATGAGAGCAATGTTAAGAATGAACTGGCTAAACGAGAAAAAAAGTTCAGCAGGGGAAATATCAAAACTTATAACTTCTTGTTCAGCAACTTGAGATTATGATGAAATTGCCTTAACCACAAGGTCTTAGGTATTCCCACTCTTATACCTCTGTCACCTGAAGCACACACAGTTTCCAGAAATTCCACTATCTTCCTGCAGCTTTTCTCAAAGGTGGTCTTTGTACCTCAAGTCTGTTATGTCTAGTATTCTCTTTTATTTTATTGAAAGTGGGTGAGAGGGCTACAGGGATCACTCAGTTGTTAAGAGCACTGTTCAATCCCTTTTCATTTCCTAGCACTCCAATGGCAGTTCACTAGCCACACTTCTATCAAATAGTTGGGTATAAGCTGGTACCTGGCATTGACTTGGATGGTTACATAAATGAGACATCTTCTGTAAGTCCTGACATCTAGATTTAAAAATTAGTGATATCGAAGTATACCTCTGTTGCCAAGGACCAAGCCTGGGCTTGGAGGGGGGAAGAGAGAGAAGAGGTATCTGGGAGCAGAGAAACAAAGGACTGGCAGTCACACTGTCAGTTGAAGCTATCCATCTATGCTCTGTTGAGACAGCTTCCCAGCCTGCTTTCCCTATGTTCTGCTTTCTCTCTGATCTGTTTTCTCTGGAGAGCTCCAGACAGCTCTCTGTCTATGTTCTGCTAGAGACTGTTCACCAAGCAGTTCTCTCCTGCCATTCTTAAAAATTCACTTGATAGCTCCTCTTTTGCATACCATAAAAGAAAACTGTTATTTTCTCTATCAACCCAGTCACTTACTCCTTTTGATTAGCCTCCCCTGCCCACAGGCCCTCAATTCTTAGGAGCCAGCAAGCACACCTTTTCTTTTAACTTTGCAAAAGTATTCAGTTATCTGCCTGCCTCTGTTAAACACAAATGCTAAACTGGCTGGGTGGGACCCAGTGCTGAAATTATCATTTCTATCACACCTGGGCCTAAAGTTGCTCTGTCTCAGGCTGATCCTGAAATCAGTAATCTGTCAGCCTTTCTAAACATGAACAACAACAACAAAATAACAATTAGTTGAGTGGGTTCTCCTGTGAACACCATTCCCCACATCTCTTTCTTTTTTCATTAACAGATCTTGCCTCAAGTTTGTTTGTAACAGCATAGGACACTAGTCCTATGCTGCAAATAGTGTGTGGATGGGTGTGTCACAGCAGTTCATCTGTTTTCACGTTGGCAGGAACATTTTCTATGGGGCCTTCACAGGGGCCTGGGAGCCTGGGCTGGAGCAGAAACCTGGGCCTCAGCTGCAGCTTTGGCTTTTGCCTTTGTTTGAAGCTTGTGCTTTGCTTCTAACCCAACCAATACCAAGTAATGAATCAGGTCCATCTTGTTTTGAAGACTCTTATATAAGGAAGAGAGGCCCAAATGTGCAGGATTAAATATATACCACTCGTTATTACAGATTCAATAAGTATTGTAAATTGTAGTTTATTTAGTGAATCAAGGTCAGCTGACATCCTAAATGAGAACCTGTCTCAAGGGGGAAAAAAAAGGATTATAAACAGTCAAAACTAAATTTTAAGGCCAGTTACGGATTATTTATTTTCCTGTTCCAAATTAATCCTAAAGATAAAATTTCAGTAATTTCTAAATCGTTATCTACAGTGTTTTCTCCAGTCATGTCCCAAGTAAGAGGACAACTTGTCATTTTGACGTGTTTTTCCTCTATAATCTTGAGATTTACATAGTGTAAATTGTTTCCAATTTTCATGGTACGTGTTTAGAACTGCCAGATTTTTAATTAAATTACTAACTGCAAAGCAATTCCAGTTTTGCAATCACCTACTATGTACCTTAACCTTTAGTTTGAATATAAAAATGTCCTCTTTTTTTTTTACTCAGGGATGCCTCTGTCTCCTAATTCAAAGGAGACTGCAAGATTGGCCTGGAAATAAAATACATTTTTATTTCACATCTTTTCGGTCATTGCCCCTTGGTTCTTGACAGGTGAAAAGTACTTGCAGTTTACCTGAACCCAGCCTGAAGCAAAAAAAAAAAAAAAGACAGAGAGAAAAAAAGTTTTCTAAAATCGTTCTTAATTTTTAATATTCTTGGCACCTGTCCATTTGTGGGACAGATTAGTAACTCCACTGTAATCTGACTTACTGACAGTGAGAGCCATCCAACTTGAATTGAGCAGGATGAGGAGGAAGTACCTCCTGAGTGTTGTGATGGGAGTTCAGGAAAGCTCCAAATTTGCAAAGCAATGAACAAGGTGTCACTGCCCACATGAGTAGAAGCAGGCAGTTGAGAAGCAGGGATGTGAAAGCTTACTTTCTCCCAGGAGCTGGATGGGAGGACAAATAAGCTATTGGAGGAGAGGCACTTGTGCTACTGAACTTCAAATCTGCAGATCTGGAAAATTATTGGGCAAAGCTGGAACCACTATGCTGTGTCTCTTTAAGACACTCTAACCCTAAGAGTGGTGATTATGTCCCTCAAGTCTCACTAGCCAATCAGCACCTCCACATGGACTGCAAG